AGTTGCTCCTCAACCACCAACAAGTCATCCACCTATGAACAGAGGGAAACATTCAGTTTCATTTAGGTTTGCAATCCCTTAATGTGGGTTTACCTTCTCCTGGAACTGCGTAACGCATTCGGAGAGACGGAGAACGTAAGGATCCAGCTTGTACGATTCCCAAACGAGTCCTATTCCCTCGGAGACCAAGTTCAAGACATCTTTGCGCAGTCCTGCCACCAGCGGCACAATGCTGGCCCGATCCTCGATCTAGATGGAAATCATTTGGTTAGTTGAGCGATTCGTGTAAAGTATAGAAAGTGATTCTTCATTTGCATGCGGGAGTTGAACAAAGAGCTGGGACTAGGAAATCAAATGGTGGTTGCAGGTACAGGTACAGGTACAGGTACGGGGAATATTTGGGGGGAATTAACAAACGCTTTTGGGGGAGGTACAACAACGCAACAACACTACCTTGAATACGGAATTTTGTGCTAGACTCCTATTATTAAGCTGCATGAAAGAAAGGTTGTTGTAGGTTCGGTAGAGATTCAGAGAGAGAGAGAAAGACGGGGTTTCTTGTGGTGGGTCTATTGGTTTATGGTCTCTATGTGACGTGTGTACTAGTGTCTGGTGTCTAGTGTCTGGTGGTGGGTAACAAAATTCAAGCTGCACGCCAGGAACAAAGCAATGCAAAGAGAACAAAGTGGAGCCAGTGGTTGACTCCAGCACGGTGACATCGTGTGGGTGTGGGTGTGATTGTGGCACAGTGGAGTGTATAAAGAGTGTTGAGAGAAATGCCTGACTGATATCAAGTGAATCTCTAGATGCTCTCCAGAGATTCTTTTGATTACAGTCCTTCTTCGAGTGAAGAGACCCTTCAACGGAAGCTCACCTTCTCCAGGGTGCGTTCGTAGGTGCGAACACTCTCAATCAGCGATATAGCATACGGATAGATCTGGTTTGCCTGATGCGCCTTGTTCACAATGGTGAGCGGAACTCTGCAGAAAGACAAGCCATGAAATCCAAGCTCTATCCAAGATAGAGCGCTCGTTTACATACCTGAATCCCAGATTCTTGATATTCCGCACCTCCTTGGCCAGCGTGATGATCTCTGGCAGAAAGTTGACCCTCAGTCGCAGAACATTGCCACGTCCAGTGCGAGAGCGCGTCGACTCAATTGTGAAAATGCGACCAGTGCTGCCAAAGTTGCGCTCCTGCACCTTGCGGGCCCACTCGTTGAACACCTCAACGGTGGAGAGCTTGGCGCGGAAGCTAACCCCGTCTTCCTTAAGCCTCTGGCCCTCGATGTGGGTCTCCCAGCCCTTGCCCAGCACATCCTCCACGCGCTTCAAGTACATCGTCAGCTGGTTGTCGATCTGACGGGCCCAAATTATGGAGCCCGCCACCGGGGGCAGGTCCCGCACCGAGGAGAGGCGGCAGCTCTTGCTCTGCGGATACTGCACCTTGAACTTCTCGTGCAGGGCCTCGATGTCGTCCTTCACACGCTGTATCAGCTGCGTCTGGTACTCCCGTATGGCGCCGCGTATGTGCGGGCGCACAAACAGCGCATTGAAGCGCGAGAAGATGCGGAACATCTCGTTGGCATTCTTAGCCGTTCCCAGTTGGTCGCGTAAATGAGCCGTGATGCGAGTCTCCACGCGATCTGTGAGCGAAAGGAATCAGTTTTAGTGATTTTCAAGTTTAGTGAACCGTACAGAACACGGTTCACTTACCTATCTTCTCCTCGTAGCGCTTCACTGCTGCCTCCCAGGCCTCGGAGCCTTCCTTGGTTATGTCCAAGCAATCCACTTCCTTGACATTTTCGTAGGCAAGATTCACCTCTTCGATGGCATTGGCATCGGCGGCGTCCAGGCTGTAGGGCTGCTTGGTCTCCACGGTGCTGCCGTCATCGCCAACGGCCTGCTTGGTGGGACGCAGGACGCGCAGGATAACAGTGCGCAGCTGTTCGTGCTGGCGCCGGAACTTGCGCATGTGCTCCATGCGGGTCTGCAGCTTCTTGTGGGCGGGCGATACCCGCCACACCATCTTCAGGTGCTCATCCCGCTTCTTCTTCACAATGTCGCGGAGCAGGCCCTGCAGCTTGTCGTACTCGTCGTCCCAGCAGCTGAAGATCTCGAAGCACTGGTTCATCACGCGCTCGAACTCGTCGAAGGGAATGTGCATTAGTCGCCGAGTGCCCAGCACCTTGAGCAGCTGCTGAGACAGATCCCGCGAGATGGCCTCAATCAGCTTGAGGCAACGCTGGATGGGATACTTGGTGTTGCGCACCTTCCGCAGATGCGAGAAGATCTGCTGCACAGCCGGCCGGATCTTCTCCAGCTCCGTGGCAGACAGCAGATCGTTGATGGGGAAGTCCTTCATCAGGGGATTGTAGTCGGCCACAGTGGCCAGAGCCTGCTTCAGCTCCGTGTCCGTATCGAACGAGACGGTGGCATGGAAGCGCTTGCCATGCTTCAGTATGTCCAAAGTCAGAGCCACCTCCGGGGACTCGCCCTTCTCTTGGATGCGATACAGGGCACGCTCCAGATTCAGCCAGAAAGAGATTTCCTACAAAAATGCGATATAAAAATAACAAATTTGTTTTCCATAAATTATTTTTATACCCGGAACTCGCAGAATTTAGGGATATATTAGCGGTGTGTAAAACCCAGAATGAAGAGTTTCTGAACCCCCATAAAGCCAGGTCTGTCTGTCTGTCCTTTAGTATTGATGATCTGCCCTGATCTAAGGGGTGGAGCAACCAAATTTGATGTGGAGACGTCTGTGAGTTAAAATTTCGGCCCGCCCCCTTCACTGCCGGATGTGGATCAGTTTGAATCCATTTCCAGTGGCTGGTTACTCTACCCCTTCCACGCGCTTAGTCATTCTCCCTTTCTCTCGCTATCTCACTCTTAATCGTAGAGTGTGTGCTCGCACTTCTCGATATGGCTATCTCTGTTTTGTAGTCATAAACAAGACAGCGAGAGAGAGAGGGAGAGCATACGGTAGTCATCGGCTCCGATACCGATTCTGGCGCTTACGAATAATATGTATTGTATAGACTAATCAGTATAATCAGAAAAGCTGACTGAGTACCGGGTGTAAAAGATCTCAACGCTTCCGATCGTTCTCACCTGCAGCGCTGTACCCGATCCGGGGTCACGGTTCAGCTTGGTGACCTTCTTGATTTCGGTGATCCAGCGATTGACGCCGTTCTGCAGCTGGTTGAGGAACGAAGAGTCCTCCACCTTGTCGCCAAAGTCCACCACCTTGGCCTTGCGTCCCTCATCGGCGCACTTGCGGATCACTGCGTTGACGATCTGGTGAGCCGTCAGGGTAATCTCCGGTATATCAATGTTCTGCTGCAGGTGCAGCAGACCCATCTCCAGCTCCGCCAGCTTCTTCTCCACCGACGGGGCCATCTTGTCGCCATCCCGGTCCGCACGACCCGACTCCTTGACGTACGACTTGAAGTAGGGGGCCAGGGACTTGCTGATGAACGCGTGGAGCGTCTCGTACGGGGAGCCATCGGAGAAGTTGATCAGTCGCAGCTGGGAGTGAATCGACTTGTCCGCCTCCACCACAACGCCCCGCTTGATGCATGCCAGCGAGGCCATGCGGCTGTTGGTGAAGTGTACGTCATTGCTGATTTGGTACGACACCTGCTCCTTCTCCTCCTCCCCCTCCGCCGGCTGTTCGCTATCGTCCTCTGCAAAAATCAAGGAAATAAATCACTAATGAGGCTGCTATCGCACTGTTTCATTCACCCACATTGCACGGCCTCGCCGCCTATCTGGCCATGAGCTCAATGGCGTGGCACTGACATCATTTCATTACCAAGGCGTCACCTTCGAAAAATTCAGCGGCCAAGGGAAAAACCTTCAAAATTCGAACAGCCAAGGCTGGACCTTGGCGCTGTCATTGCTCCCACATTTGTTGGCCCCGGTGCCAATGTCAATGACAACGCTCAATGCCGCAAGTCAATGGAATAGGTACGTACGCAGCCCCAAGGTCGCGCCACTCCGCTTCGTGTTGCTTCCGCAAACAAACTTGTTGATTCTCTGTTTGTAAACAACCGAAAGCCGGCCGGCAATCGATGCCACAGGTGGCAGCATTGTTCAGCTGATTTTTAGCACATTGCTATCGATTATTTAGTCCGTGACGTCATGCGCTGACGATATGCGCAGAACCAGTTTTACGAAAAAAAGGTTAACAAAAACAACAGCTGCATTGATGTTTAACAAAAACTCCGTGCATTTGAGAAACACATTAAGAATGACTCATTTTGGGTTGAATGAATAGACTGTTAGACATGGCTTTTCCGATCTGAGTACTTTACATGCAGTTTATAGACTTTCTCCTGGCCCAGGGAACGCCATATTGTGCAATTTTATTTTGCAGTGGCGTCCCAGGTGCCAGCCCTGCAGAAAAAAGCGTGCTCACCTTTAATGCAGTTCCGCTGCACATACAGCGCCTGCACCTGGGGGTCCGAGAGAAACTTTCTGATAGTCTCCTGGTTGACCGGGTCGTCCAGGGCTTTATTCAGAGATTGCGGCACCACTTCGTCATCGGGCAGCAAGATAGTGACTGCCTTTCGCAGATAATTTGCAAATGCATCGTAGTTGGCTATTGACACATTCACGCCGGGATCCACCGATGTGTCGGTGTTTTCCAGGGAATCACCCATGTCCACCAATGGTTTTAAATACAAAATTCACGATTTAATGTGCACAATAAGAATTTTTCACAACTGCCTCGCCCAGTGAAAATTACGTGTGCTCTTGTTTTCCTGCAGAAATGGCGATATGGTTCTGCCAGACTGCTGAAAAAATGTGCTAAAATCTGCGAACTTCACATGCAACCCTGGCCGAAGCGCTGCCGCATCGTTAGAATTAGTATTGCCAACAATGTATCAAGGCAAATAGTAGCACGTTGAACGAAGTGGCAACGCCATTTTCAAAACAGCTGATCGTTTCGGTTTTTTTAATTTTGTTATTCAATAAGTCCGGCTGGCAGCTCAAATGTGCAGTTCAATCAATTAAAACAAACAAAATGCAGGCGCTACGCCACACGTGGACCTTGCGCGGCCTTCACTGGAGCTGCTGGAAGCGCTTTCTAACGCAAAGCTGCACTGGCAACGAGGTGAGAATTCCAATACAAAGGGGCCACAACTAAAATGTATTTTTCACGGCAGTATTTGGAGTTGAGTAGCGATGTAAAGCGTCGCATAGAGACCCACTGGCGGGACCAGCTCAGCGGCGGACAGTTTAATGCCAAGCAGCCGGCAGACAAGTACTACGTGCTCTCCATGTTTCCCTATCCCTCGGGCAATCTGCACATGGGGCACGTGCGCGTCTACACGATCAGCGATGCCGTGGCCCGTTTCCAGCGAATGTGCGGCAAGAACGTGTTCCAGCCCATTGGCTGGGACTCCTTCGGTCTGCCCGCCGAGAATGCCGCCAACCAGCGGGGAGTGGAGCCGGCCACGTGGACACAGCAGAACATAGCACAGATGAAGCAGCAGCTGCAGCGACTGGGCTGCTCCTTTGACTGGACGCACGAGCTGTCCACGTGCAGTCCTCAGTACTACAGGTGGACGCAGCACCTCTTTCTGATGCTGCACAAGCGCGGACTGGCCTACCAGAACGAGGCACTGGTCAACTGGGATCCGGTGGACAAAACGGTGCTGGCCGATGAGCAGGTGGATGCAAACGGCTGCTCCTGGCGATCGGGCGCCAAGGTGGAGAAGAAACTGCTCAAGCAGTGGTTCATCCGGACCAGTGCGTATGCCAAGCAGCTCCTAGACGGCTTGGACGATCCCACGTTGCGCGACTGGAGGGACATTATCAATCTGCAGCGGCACTGGATAGGAGAGTGCAATGGCTACGCCTTCACGCTGCTCACCTCCGCCTGCAACCTGTTGAGGGTGTGGACTGCCAATCCGGAGCATCTCAAGGATCCGAATGCCTTTCTCGTGCTCCGCAGCAAGCACTATCTCGCTAAACTGTCGGGTGCAGGGGGCCTCAGTGTGGAGAATCCATTTGCTAGCACCACCATTCCCGTGGTCTTCAGCGACGAGGCCGCCTTTCCAGCAGACTGCGATGTCTATCTGGCGGCTCCCAGCTTTCGAGCCGAGGACAGGGAGCTGTGGGACTCATTTGGTCTGGCTATCTGCGCATCTGGATCGGAAGAGACACGCCTCAATCCAGGAAACTGGGAGCTGCTCAGGAAGGAGGTGCTCCAGGCAGCCACCCGACTGAATGTTGGTGGCTATCGAGTGTCCTCCAAGCTGCAGGACTGGCTGATCTCACGACAGCGCTACTGGGGCACTCCCATTCCCATTGTGCACTGCCCAAAGTGCGGAGCAGTGCCCGTGCCCGAGGAACAGCTGCCAGTGACGCTGCCCAAACGGGAGTCCTCAGCCTCTGGGCAGGATGTCCTGCTCTGCGAGTGTCCAAAGTGCGGGGATCCAAAAGCGAAACGCGAGACTGACACCATGGATACGTTTGTCGATAGTTCCTGGTACTACCTGCGCTTTTTGGATGCCCACAACTCGGAGCGCATCTTTGATCCCACCCTCGCGAGCCAGTTCATGCCCGTGGACCTGTACATCGGAGGCAAGGAGCATGCCGTGCTGCATTTGTACTATGCGCGATTCATGAACCACTTCCTGAACAACTGCGGCCTCTCGCCCACCAGCGAACCCTTCTCCCGCCTGCTGGTCCAAGGCATGGTCATGGGCCGCTCCTATCGCCTCAAGGGCAGTGGACGCTACGTGCGCGAGGAGGAGGTGGAGGTAGTGAACGCCAAGAAGAACCAGGCGCTGCTCAAGGAGACCAAAGAGCCCGTGGTGATGACCTGGGAGAAGATGTCCAAGTCCAAGCAGAACGGCGTGGAGCCAGGCGAAATGTTCGACCAGTACGGCACGGACACCACTCGCCTGATTATTCTCGCCGATGTGGCACCCACCTCTCATCGTAATTGGTCGAGTGCAAGTATGGCCCAAGGACTATAAGGAGATGTTTAGGGTTGATTTAATTGCGGTTTCTTTCAGCCTTTCCTGGTATACTAAACTGGCAGAAACGACTCTGGCTGACGCTGCAGGAGTTCCAGGCAGCACGCGAGGAGGCTTCCACAGAGGTGGATGTCAGTAGCGAGCAGTTTCTGGCGGAGGATGCCAAGCTCTTTGACGCCCGCAACTTCTACGTCAAGGGCGCCACATTCAACTATCGCCATGCGCATCAGCTGAGCGTGGCCATCTCCAAGATGCAGGGATTAACCAACTCCTTGAGGGTGAGTCTCCTCCAGTCTGCCTGCTGGCAATCATTGCTAATCATGTCTTCTCACAGCGCACGCCCAAGCACATTCAGCGCCATGGCAAGCAGTTTGAACGTGCCCTGGCTGCCCAAATCATCATGCTGGCCCCCATGGCGCCTCACTTTGCCTCCGAGCTGTGGTCCAAGTTTGTGTCCGTTAAGGGTCGACTGAACGACGCCAGCCAGGAGCTGCAGTGGGGAGAGGATGTGCTGTCGCAGCGGTGGCCGGACATCGATGCCGCATACAACCTGGACCTGAGCATCAAGGTGAACGGCTTCGAGAACTGTGTGATCAAGGTACAGCGCACGCTCCTGGACAAGGTGACGCACAGCGATGCCATGGACATAGCCTTCAACACGGAGTCGGTGACCTCGTACCTCATCGACAAGAAGATACGGACCACCAATTTCGTGCTGTATCCGGGCATCGAGGCCATCCTCAACATCTACGTGGACAAGGTGCAGAAGAAGGCGAAACCGGCAAGCAGCAGCGATACGGACAAGGTGCTGGCAGAGTAGCTGCGTCCGAGACTATGATTACTATATTATTAAGTGGATGGGCACAGTTATGGATTATGCGGAACTGGTTGGACCGGTTGCATCGGTTGGGACCCGTGGAAATGCATTTCCGTTAGATTGGTACTCTTTAATCATGTTTAATGTTAAATATTTATAAAAATTGGACTAGTTGTATGCCTGCGCTTTACAAGATTGGTCTCTCGCGAGTCTCGGATCGGATGTAAATGCCTAGGATCATTGGAATATATAACGTTTGCATGTCGCATGTCGCGGGGTGCTCTTCTAACTAAAAGCAAATAAGTCTACGAACTCCACGCGCCCCCTCGGGGGCCTCTCCTTCCTGCCAGGAGGACAGGGACCTCCATCACTTCATCAGCTCGCACATGAGATTCCGCAGGTAGACGTCCAGCTGGGCGTAGTCCAGCAGCGTATTGCGCACAATGTCCAGCAGCATGCTCGGCCAGAGCGTCTCCAGCTTGTGCAGCTTCTCCACCGCATTGCAGGTGTTCTCCAGCAGCAGGGCAAAGTGCTGCCTTCCCCGATCCCTGGCACTGGGCGCCATTGCATTCGCGCCACCCTCACTGGCCCCTGCCGCTGTCGTTGGTGCTGCACTAGCAGGGGCCGCAGTTGCAGCATTCTTCTTCCACTGCAGGGCCTCCTTGCCCACGACGAGGCGCAGGGATTTATTGTCTGGCCGCAGGAGCCACTCCTTAGGCGACAGCTTGCTGGCCGTGCACGTCTCGTCCAGGCGGAGGCGGGCCAGCAGCGGCTGGAGCATCACCTCGGGCATGGACCAGAGAACGAGATCCGAGAGTCCTGCATACATGGCATTGGCTGCCTCCACCTCTGCTTCGGTCACCTCCTGGCCGTTCAGTTGCTTCAGGCCCCAGTGGGACAGTCTGTAGATGGCGTACGCTCTCCAGGACGCCTTCGCGGTTATGCCGTTGCCCTCCGCATCGATGAGCAGGCTGCCCAGTCCCTGCAGCTCCGCCAGCCCGTTCAGCTGGCCGAGACAACTGATGTTCGTTTCCCGGAAGACAAAGTGCTCGGCGTGGGGGAAGCGCAACTTGATCCTGCCCAGAACAGATACGATGCTGTTGAAGTTGATGTAGCTGAAGTTGAGGGTATGCACGTCGTTGGCCTTGGCCGGGTTCCACTGCTTGTCGATGAACCGCAGCGCTCCCTGGCCGTAGATGTTCAGGTATCGGCCGCAGATCTCGATGAGGTAGTCGCCTCCCTGCTCCCTCTCTCGCTCCGCTGCACTCGGCTTCGACACGGTGATGGCTGCTGCAGGTGTGGCTCCTCCTCCAGCTGCGGGTCCTCCGCCTGTCGCCGCCGCTGTCGCTGACTCCCGCCCTCCAGCACTCCCGCTTGTCGGCGTCGACGCCTTGCTCTGGGACGGCACCACAGAGAGCGCATTAGGAGTGACTTTGGCGCGACCTGTGCTGTTGGAGCTGCTGCTGTTGCTCGTGCTGCTGCTCACGGTCTGAGCCCTCACCAAACTCCCTGCCATGTACCGCTTGGAGGCTCCGCCGCGATTTATCTGTAGACCCAGCTGTGTGATGGGCGCGTGGCGGGGACGCTGCTTACTGCTGGCCGGACGGCTGCCGCTGGAGCTCCCTGTGGCGGTGGATGGGGGCACGGGCAGCGTGGCCGTGGTCGATGGCGGCGGCGGATTGGGCGTGCAGCACGGCACAGAAGTGCCATGGGCAGCGGGGGGCGTCAGGGTGAGAGCTGGTGGTGAAGGCGAAGGCGTGGCGGCTGCAAGAGTCGTCGCAGTCTTTGCTCCGTCTTGTGTCGGAGGGGCAGGCGAAGAGCAGGTGGCATCGACTCCTCCCCCCACCACCCTGTTGCAGTTCTCATCGATCTGCGGTGTCGTGGGCTTGTTCCTGCCTGCTCCTCCCTCCTCGTTGTCGGTGCTGTAGCAGCTGGAGCAAGAGTCCACGTTGGGTCCCAGGCTGGAGGCCTCAGATGAGACGCCATCCTCCTCTGGCAGTTTCTTAGAAATGGGCGGCAGTTTGGTCAGCGCCTGCAGCTCGTCCAACAGCTCCTTGGGCTGCTGCTGCTGTGACTCCTCGGACTCTGTTTCCGGCTCCTCGTTGGCAGTGCCCTCGTTGGACTCGTTGATCTTGGCCAGCTCGCTGGTGAGGCGGCTCTTGGGGCGACCCATGGTCTGCTGGGATCGGAGCAGCTCCCAGTTGGTGCGCGCATTCGAAATCACCTCCTCCCGGCGGATGGTGTGGTACGCCTCCGAGCTGCCGTGCGTCGACTGGGCCTGCTCCTTGTGCTGGCGCCAGGCGAGCGCCGCGCGACGCACCTGCTCTGTGATGGGCATCTGGCTGAGGGACTGCAGCAGGGGCAGATATGACACCAGGAAGGACACACAGTCGCCGGCCAGGGACACGGGATTGTTCTCGATCGTTACCTCGAGGAGTCGCGAGGCGCGTGCTATGCTCGCCATATCGTCCACTTTGTGCAGCTCGTTGTGGCACAGCCACAGGCGCTCCAGAGCCACCAAATGCTGGAAGCCATTGATGCGCCGCAGCTTGTTCCGCTTGAGGTTCAGCTCCCGCAGGCAGCGGAGGCCCAGGAAGTCCTGCTGGTTGATCTGACGGATCTGATTCCCCGCGAGATTAAGGGACTTCAGCTGCTGTAGACAGTTGATGCGGCTGCCCAGCGTCGTCAGCTTGTTGCCGTGCAGGTCCAGCACGCGGAGCGAGTCCTTCAGCGAGGCCAGTCCGCCAATGTCCGTGATGCGGTTCTTGCCCAACAGCAGCACTGAGAGCACTGGGAGTCCGTCCAGGTTGGCTATCCGCTCGATTTGGTTGTCGTAGAGATCGAGGAAGACCAACTGCTGGAAGATGCTGCCGTAGCTGGCACTGAGACTCAGCTGCTTGTTCTTGATGCTTAGCTGCTCCAGCGGGCAGCTGGAGGCAGCACTGGGCTCCTCCTCTTCGCCCAGTCCCCCACACAGCGAGAGAGTGCTGCCATTCAGGGCGCTGCTCTCGTCGCAGCTCTGCAGGATGCTCCCAGCCAACGCTCCGCCTCCGCCTCCTGTGGCCTTCAACATGGCCCTTCGCTGCATGAGCTGCTGTTGGTGCTTCATCGCCTGCAGGCTGCTGGACATGAAGCTCTTGGACTTCTCCATGCCATAGCGCATTCTCAGAGCAGGCGGTGGCGTGAGCTGCGCCTGCCCATAGTTGTAGCCTCGCTTGGGCAGCTTCGAGCGTCCGGCTCCTCCTCCGTTGATGGCCAGGGCTTGGGTGGTCAGAGGACTGCCCGAATTCGGACTTCCGCCTGACTTGGGCGACAGATGATGGTTCTGCGGATTCCCGGCATTGGTCATGGCCCGCGTCAAGCGTGGTCCCTGCTGATGTCCCCGCAGGCCAGAGCGGCGTTTGTGCACGCCCAGATCGGATCCCTCCTTGGTACTCCCGTTGGTGTGGTTGTGGCTGTTGTATTCTGAGGGAACGGTAGATCGCGCTTTAGAGGAAGATTCGTTTAGAGACGAATACTTACCATCCCTTGGCGTGGACACTGCTGGTGGTGGAGGAGGAGGTACTGGCGGTGGCGGCGGGGGCAGCTCCTTGGGTATGTGGAAGGTGTTGATTAGATTGTGCTGCAGCGACAGCAGCCGGAGATTGGGCTCCTGCTCGAAGATGGGAATGGCCGTGAGGCCGCGGCGATCGTAGTTGATGCGATCGGGCAGTTCCTCGCGCTCCTTGGCCAGCCGCTGAATCCGACAGATGCCATTCGGCTGCGGCGTGACAATTGCTCCGCTCACCAGCGTCCCTCCCGTGCTGCCCACCAGCGTGTTGGGCGTGGCAGCGGACGTGGCCGGGCGGCAGTTGTTCGAGGCCGCCGAGGAGGAGGTGGACTTGGAGCGTTGACGGGTGATGCCCACCCCACGGTGCAGATTCCGCTGCTGATTGCGCAGCTGAGCGGCGGTCCCATAGCTGCGCTTCAACTGTTGCTGCTGCTGCTGGGGATGACCCACTTGGAGCTGTTCCGCTTGCTGTTGATGATGGTGATGCTGTTGCTGCTGCTGCTGCTGCTGCTGTTGGTATTGGGCTGCTGCGGCGGCGGCGGTGGAGGGCACTGGATGCCGCTTCTGGATGACATTGTGGCTTAGGGTGCTATGGGAGCGACCAATAGGACGCCGGCGAAGTCGTTGATTAAAACTAGGAACGAACGGTTCGATTTTCAGCAAAGATGTTTGAGGTAAGTAGTTCTGTTGTTGTTGTTGTTGTTGAAGTTGTGGCGACGTGGCTGTTGCACCATTGACGGCGGCTGATGTTGCAACGGATGTTGTGGGGAGAACTGCAGCTGGGACGGGTGCTGGTGTAGGTGTATGTGTAGGTGTAGGTGCTGGCGACGGGGACGGCGACTCCGGCGCCTCATCGTGGAGTGTGGAGTACTGCCTGCTGCGGCATTTGGCCATGGAGATCAGCGTGCGACGCCTGGCATGTGTTGCCGCCGCCGTCGCCGTCGTTGTCCTTGGCTGCCCTTGTCCTTGTCCTTGCACCTGCACCAGCGCCTGTCCCTGGCCCTGGCTCTGCCCCTGCACCACACCCTGGGCCGTTGCCGTGCGTGCGACTTCCACCTTCGAGTTTCATAATAGTTCTATCCGAGCGAGCGACTCCGCGAGAGCTTCCGACATGGTTCAAAGTGCTTTCCCGATTTCCTCCTCTCTCCCGAGCGAGCGCTTCCTAGCGTTGCATAATATGGGAGTATGGGGGAGACTGCAGATGCAAAATCCTTAAGTCGAAACCATGGACCCTCTAGCCTCTAGCCAAGTACTCACCGAAAAGAGATGCAAGTGCCGTCCAAGTCCAATTCCAATTCCAATTCCAGTGGAGAGGAGCCCAGATATGTATGCCGCGCACCTGGTTCGGTTATCTAATTTGCGATTGCATTCGGATTATGGATTACACAGATACAGTGCACAGATACTGTAACTTTTGGAGAAGCTCTCCTCTCCTCTTTTCGCTCCACTTTCCACTTTCCACTTTCGACTCTCCACTTGAGGCGGGCGCTCTGGTTCCGTTCCGTTCCGTTCCGTTGCAGTGGCTGCTTCCTGGCGCTTCTCTCCCTCTACTATCCACTCTGCTCGTGGTTTTTCTCTCTTCCGCCCAAATTTTGGTTCAGTTTTAGTTGATTTTTTGTTGTTTTTTTTGTTGTTGTTGGTGTTTTTATTTTTTTCAGTCTTTTGGGGTATTCCTACTCGAATGTTTTTTCGAGTCGCGTCTCTGGCTCTGGCACTGCCACTGGCACTGGCACTGGCAACGGGTCTGGTCTGGTCTGGCTGGGGCTCAAGCCTAAGCCCTCGCCCTGGGCCTGGGCCTGGGCCTGTGCCTGGGTCTCTGGGCATGTTTTATTAGTTTGTTTATTCGGGTTATACATATACATATTGGCGCGGTTGCCATAGACCTGTACTATGTACCTGGTGCAGTTAGGAGACAGTCGCGTCGCGTCGCCTCGTTGTCCTTATTCTACACACCGTTCTCCCGCCTCCCGACTCCCGCCTCCCGACTCCCGCGTCCCGCATCGCGCTCCTGCTCCGCATTCACATTTAGCTATTGCCTATTGCCTATTGCTTCGTGATTTCTGTTATTAGTTTGTTTATTTAAAGCTCTTTTGGAGGCAATATACTAGTACCTGGTTGAGGTTGAGGCACACGGTAAAGGCGTCCTACTAGCACATCACCAGGACGACTGACAGCTAGACAGACACACATATCCACATTCACATCCACATCCACATCCAGCGCACATGTCTATGGGGCTTGTTGCTGGTGCCACTGCTTTCGCTTCTAAACATACCAAAACATTGGATTTACTGGGCTGCAGGCGGTACACCGCAATTGCTAGAGTCCATGGGAAATCATCCCAGGAATGAAGGCAATAGAAATGCAGTTGCACTTACATATAGATTAGGAATTGGCTTAAATTCTTCTGAAAACAAAAGTCGAAGGTTGAAGTACACACTGTCGTCGAGAAAGGTGAATTACAGCACAAGTATTGAATTTGTATGGAAACACGATCAGGATGTAGCAATTGTAAGCCAAAAAAGTCTCCTTTTACACCAAATAACAAAAGAGAAAGACAAACTGCGGCAATGTGTACACACTTTCCCACCACTCTGCCGATCAATTGTGGTGTAGTACGTGGTCTCTCGCAGAAAATTTGATTTTTTCTTTGTTTTGTAGTGTTCTCTTCATTCACCTTGGCCGTGTGCACTTTGGGGGGAAAAGTCGTTTGCATTAAAAACCCATTTCGCGGCTTTTCATTGCTGTTGTTGTTGCTTGTGGAAACATTTCTGATTTGCGTATGGCCCGCCACCGCTGCCGCTGTCGCTGCCGCTGTCGCTGTCGCTGCCGTCGACTATCCAGAAAGCAGCGAAGGGAACACGCACATATACTACATAATTGCCTGCCATCGTAATGGTTCACGTGCCAGCCAAGTGAGTGGTTTTTGGTTGCTTTGCTCCGCTCCGCTCCGCTCCTCTCCGCTCGTGCGAAATATGCAAAAGTTAAGCGACAACCACAGGCGGGTGGCGAGGGAGACGCGACGGCAGACCTGCAGGGAATGCGCAGCGGTGGTGTGCTCTGCCACACACCTAAACAATTAGCCAAGTCTACAGCTGGGAGCGAAGAGTGCCACAAAAGGAAATGGGGGAGGGGGCGGTGGCGTTGCCTGATAGATCCATCGAAGACACTGCAACAATTCGAGTTTAATTGATGCCAGTGCCACTGCCACAGCAACGGCAACAGCAACGGCAACAGCAACAAAAATCGAATGTGCCAAAGCTCGGAGGAGTGTGCGTGCGCTGGCATTTATGAGGCCCCAGTGCTGCTCGCTCTGGCTGTGGCTCTGGCCATGGAGAAAGAAAGCTGTCGAGGCTCCTTTCGGGTCGTTTCTGCCTGCCAGACAGGACAATAACTAAGCCGTTGATTGGCAGGCAGGCCAGGTGCGAGCGGTGTCTCCCATTAAAGTCTCACTTTTCGCCTCTTCCAGACTGCGCCTGATTGGTGCAATCAGTCTTGTCTATGCGTTCAATGAACTTGCCTCGTGTTGCAACAAGTGGCAAGAGCTTGAAGCTTCTGGGAAATCTTTACATCTATTCAAAAATCTATTTCAAGGAACGATTGAAAGGAGATGTCCTCGATCTGGTATCTAGCCTTCCCCACTTATGTGTAACCTGTGAATTCCCCAGCTACTGGTAGCTACTAGCTACCACTGGGGTCAAACTGATTAATTCCCTTATTTGTTTTTGGTCCGTGCGCTCTTCGCTGCTCTTCCTACTTGATTAATTATAAATAAACCCAGCAGAAAAGACAACAGCAACAGCAAAAATTAACAATAATAAAGCGCGTTTCAGTCTTAATGTATGATTGTGTGGGTGGTTGTGTTTGTGTGTGTGTGGGTGTGGGTGTGGGGTGGGGGGGTGTGCATGTGTAAATTATTCATAACGGTATTATCAGCTTTTCTGCGCGCTGCCAGACTGATTAAATTGGCCATCCCATCGCACGTCGGGGGCCAAGCCATGGCAAAAACGGGGGAGAGCGGAGCAAAGCGCTTCGACAGAGGGCGCCAAAAGCTAATGATGATACTCACACACACACACACATACTAAGTGTGTTTGGGTGTGACCTCTGGGTGGGGAGGAGGTATATTAACTAGGTGTTTTTTGCCCCCCACGCTTCACCCTCCATCGATCCCCTTGTGGCCTGAAAAGCACCTGAAATACGGCTGCCCCTGTTGCGATCTGCCCCACCTTCTGGTTAATATACCTTGAGCTGACATTCTCGTGCTCTCCGCTGTGCGCGCTATTTATCAACTCCGGCCGACTCGCATGTCCCCGTTACTGTCCTCTCCGCCGATCCAACCCATTCAGTGTGTGGTCAGGGACAATTGCAGCAGCGAGCTGTAATTATTAAAAAGTATATAACAACAGCAACAACAATCGAGATAATGAGCCCAAGAACAACACAGCACAGGGGATGGGAGGGGGGCTTTCGAGCGGAAAGCGAAAGTGAAAATGTTGCAAAAGGTTGGAGAGCAGACAAAGGAAAGACCAAAGGTTGAACGCTATCGTGGCTCCCCTCAGTCCACCCAGTCGGCCACCCATCCGCCTGCCGTCTGATTCCGCCGTCTCTGCTGCACTCGTTATCTAGAGCAGCGGCGGGGACATGCTCCTCACGCAAAAGCCTGCAAAATTAATGGCCAACAAGGATGTCAACAGCAGCGGCAACAACCACAGAGAGAGCTACAACGGTAAATAGCGCTAACCAGGCTCCTGGGTTAAGTTTACATCCATCGCAGCAGGACAAACGGACCGCCAATGCTACAACAATGCTGCAAGTGCAACAGCAGGAGGAGCAGCAAGAGCAGCAAGAGCAGCAGAGGAGCACCAGTGCGGCAGGCAAAGGAAAACTTTGATAAAACATTAAAGAGGGAAATGGAAAAAGTCCCTTAAGAATGAAGAAAGGAAACGTGAAAAGACTGCGCCCAGGCATTCGGACGTATTAGATTCGGTGGCAGGGGTTAAAGGTCAAGTTCTGGAGATTCCCCTACCTCCCACACTCCTCCCTTCAATGCGTCAGAATAATCAATGTAAGCCGCCACCGCAAAAGCAATGCACTATCATCGATGCACTATGTGCTGCTCCGTCTGCGGTGATGCTAATATCAAAATGCTGCCGACCCAGACGACCGCAGTAATTGAAACATTTGGAAGCGTCACCCAACATACCAGACACCAGAGGCAGATGTAAACGATTTTGTACAGCTTAAGGTATACAGTATGCCTAGTATTTAATCGTATTTTGTTCAGTTTTCATTACAGGGAAGGCAATCAGTCAGCTGACTGCAGTTTTCTGCTGCTTCCCCTTGGAAATCGTAGAAACCGGGATCGCTTGCCAGTGGTCCCGCTCGCACCCGTGCCAGACTCCAGCTGGATGTAGTCCTTCCCGCTGGATGCCACTTCCAGCTCGCTTCCGTTGAGTATTTGTGCTACGTGCGCCTCGTCGATTGTGCCTTTGAATATCAAAGGATATGGCCATTCGTGGCATATCGTGGGACCGCTATAGTCGCGCAGTGTCTCGATCAGCCTATCCAGCCGCAGCATCTCCTCGTGGTCATCGTTGAGGGCCCTCACCTCGTCCAGCAAAGCGGCCACATTGGATTCGAGCACCTGGAGAGTGTGACTAGAAATTAGATTAGCTGAAAAATCGCTTATTTTGCTCGATTTGCTTTGAGCAATGTGTGAATGAACGGGGTCGGACGGGGTGTGGTGGGGTGGGGTGGGGTGGTCGTTCGTGAAGGCAGTACCCGTGCAGTGGTGTCGGATTACATTGACAGTAACTACGACGGCGTTACGGTCATTGATAGCCGCTTCGCCTGGGCCACTGCCCATTCTGTCCGTCCATCGTGTGTTATTTTGCCGCATTCGGCGTTGTCTGCGGCTCGGATTTCCGCTACAAAATCTTGTCACGGGCCTCGTCAATGTCGGGTCTATTAGAACCCAATTAGCAAAGTCTCTGAACCCGGGAAACTAAGCTCATGTTCGATGCATGTTAGAGGGAGGCTCGAGGGCCCCTCCATCCTCATGTTAGCCTACGGCCCTAACGGCTTTCTCTAATTAGCGGTCCAAGTAATCACTGCACCCCCTATCGACAGCCCCCTCCCCCACCTCATTATAGCCCAGACATTCTAACATTTCGTTCCCAATAGAGGGGCTATAATTGCATTAACAGGTCCCAAAACTGTGTCGCAACTGTTAACAGCGGGCTGCTAGAGGGAATGTTACGCTAGATAACAGCGGGTGTGAGAGATACACTTGCGGTAAAAATAATAGCTACACCTTTACAAGTCTTGACACTCTCAACATATAATCAAAGTTCCAATGGGAGAATATTTCGATATTTGTATTCGTTCGATAATGCTTTAAAGTACATAGTACTTAGCTCATACATTGGTACTGCAGTGTACCTGTTGCTACGAACTCAAGTGTATGCACAACAGATGGGGATCGAGAGCGAGAGCGAGAGAGATAACGAAATTGGAACGGAATGCAGCCAGAGAGAGGCATTGTACGTACATAGGTAGGGGTAACATTTACAGCTGCTGCCCGCTAACATTCGGCAGCATTAAATGCAAACAAGTGTCACTCTGTGGTCGAGCGGATTACAACACTTGTTTGTGTGTGGGGTCAAAGATCCGAGCTGGGACAAAATGCAGCAGGCAAGGAAAAGGGATGGGGAAAGGGACAGCGACAGGGACAGGGACAGGGACAGGGAAAGAGAGTGTTCAATTACCAAAAACTCAATATGCAAATTAATAACACATTTTAGCACTTGACGTACACGACCGCGCAAACTTTCAACGCTGTGCAGCAGCTGCCGGCGACGCTGCACCGCCGTGCTAATTGGCGACGTCATCTCGTTGTGGGCGGCGTCGGTGGCCGACGACCGGCGGGCAGCAGCTGCCGTTGTGATCCCGTTAAATATTTAATATTGGAGCGGGAGGGGGGCGACCACTGGCGACACTTGTCAAATTTTTGGTTCGTTTACCGAGAGCTTTTACATAGCGCTAATTTGTTCAAACTCTTTTTGTTCCACAATTTGGTTTTATTTTTTTCTTCCGTTCTCGGGTTTATTCGTCGTCGCGGCTTTTGTTCTATTTTCGAGTGTTTTTTTGAGGCTTTGGGGGCTTTTCCGCGGCCTTTCTGGCCCAGCGCTCGGCGTTGAATGCGGCCCTCCCAGTGTGTGTTGTGTGTTGTGTGGTGCCTCTCCATTTGACGGACAGACAATTTGTTTACGTGCGTCAATCAGTCATACACTCTTCTCTCTCTCTCTCTTTCTTTCATTTAGCGAGAGAGAAGAGTGCTGGATGGAGAACAAAGAATGAGAACCGAACCTTGTGTTTGTTCGTGCCAAAGCTTTTTATCGGTTCTGTTTACGCAGAGACTGAAAGTATAATATGATTTTTGATCGTGTGAAAAACGCTGAAAGCTCTAAGCTCTACAGGCGGGCAGCTTTAGTAGTGTGAATAGCATTGAATGTGTCTCCTAAAGCTCTTACAACAGAACAAATCTGTAACACTAGAACTATTAAAGGTATTTCTGCAATTTCTCGGGAATATTAGAATGCGGACATTATATTTTTATCATTTTAGGACTACGAGAGAGTAAGCTTCTTGAGATCCAATGTCGAAGAGCGTTGGGAGTGCACTGCAAGATTTCGACAGACTTTTGTTTGATACCTGATGCACATCCGTTTTTACTCTACTTTCCGTAAGACTTCCTGCAACTCTAGGCAGTTCCTCAGAAGATATTTCACTGTTTGTATGCTTGTGAGGGGATCGTCATCGTATCTGATGCTATCAGAGCCTAACTTTCATATTTTCCTTAGGTTCAACCATCCAGGAATATTGCAGGGGCAGAGACTGTTGCACCACTTTTCGGCATATTCATACGCGCAGGCCACAATGTCTTTAGAGCAGCGATTCGAAAGTCTTGGCTTAAACGGCTCTTAGCCTTTGTTAAGCTCCACCAATCTGCAATCCCTGCCGCTGCTACTGCCAAGCCAAAACAAGCATCAGCTGCTGGCCATTAAAATTTTAATTTTGTGCACCATTTGACGCCATCTTGGCCCACTGGGCACCATCAACATCAGCAGAGAGCATCACCGATGCCATCGCCATCGCCATCGTCATGGCAATCCCGTGCAAAGCCCTTGGCTTGAGCGATTATGTTGATGGGCAAACGGAGGCTGCTTACCTGCATTGTCCGCTCCTGTCCCCCTGCCCCCCTCGTCGATAATACGCTCAATTCAATTTGCATATTCAGTTGTCCAATGAAGCGCACACCACACAGGAGGGAACAGAAACAGAGCCTTCCAGAACACCCTCCACCGTACTCCAAATCCAATCCAATTCAACCCACTCTCTCCATCCTCCTCCATTCATTCCCACCTCATCTCACGTCCAAACAAATGGTTTTTTCTTCTCCTGCCTTCCAACCGTCCTGCCATCCTCGTTGGCCAACTTGGAAGCAGCCGAAATGTGCCGCTGACAGCCAGGCACGCATGAGGAGATGCTCCACCAGCAGCAGTAGCAGCAGTGGCAACAGCAGCTTCGGCACCGGGCTCAAGGCTCCAGAGCAAATGGGGATCCTGCTGCTGCTGCCATGGCAACTGCTCGAGGCAGGAGTCCGCCTCACCTGCTGTTAGTCCATTACGTTAGCAATTTAACTTGCGCCACGTAAACATGATTATCATCTTAAGTGCAATGTGTGTGCGGGATGTGTGTGGGATGTGCGTGCAACAGAAGCCGAAGTCGAGTGGAGTCGGAGTCGGACTGGCAGTGGGAGTGGAGCGGGTGTGGCATCCATGGGGTATTAAGCGTTCACTTTGCTGTAAGCCAGTTGGCTCGCTGTTTAACAAGTTTCAATCTGCTTAAAATTGCAATTAATTTAAACGCTTTCTTTTCTCCATTATTGCCGAAACCATTGGAATAACAACGGATCCCAGACACCCACTTGCGCACCCACTCGCACACCCATTCGCACCCCAAATCCCGATTCCAATCCGGTTAGAGTGCTGCTGCCCTAATTGAGCTTGTCAAAATCAGGCAGCCACCAGCCAGGTGCTCGTGCCCGTGCCCGCTCCCGCTCCGCTCGTGACACCCATATAGCGGAGCACAGGACACGCAGCATCCGTAGCGGAACAAGTGGCAGTTCTGGACCCGTCAACATCATCAGTTGGCGGCCGGATCCTGATGCGATTGCAGCAGATTGAACCGCAGGAAGAATCGCCCACGCATTCGCCAGAGACCGGAGACCTCATCCCAGAGTCGTTCCCGGTGACAGTTGGTCCAGAATTGCAACAGAAGCTTGATTAATTTGGGGGCGTGCCCGTGTTTAAACATGTGGGCGTGTCTGGGACACAACACCATTTTGAGGCCCAATATAACGTGTGCGGAGTGTAGGGTATGCGATGAGGGCGGGTGTGCTGGACATGCGGCAAGCGTTTGTCAGGCAATGAAAGAAAACATAACTGTATACGAACCGAAGAGGTAGCAGTAGTATGGGAGTTATATCTTTTATCTTTAGGATGCCATACTGTCCTTTGATCTAGAAGGGTATCTAGCTTGATTTCTCTTCAAAAGCTAATACAATCTACTATTTCTGAAGTGCTGATTTTAGAAGCCAAGTATTTGGAAAATATATTTTCCAAAGGGTAGTAGTAGTAGTCGCATCCACCCCCCAGGGATTACCCATTTAAACTCTCGCTCTCACTTGTTTCAGGGGTCCTGACAGGAGGGTAAATATGAAAAGCGAGAGCCCACAGCCAACGGAGAGTCCATCAAAAACACAGACAGTCGGGAAAAAAAGGGAAGCCCCAGACAACTACAACTGCATGCACATACATATACATTTACATAAACATATACAGATGCATACATACATATATGCAGGCAAATATGTATACAGACGGACAGACAGAGATAGACACATCCAGAGAAAGAGAGCATCAGAAAGTACCGTTGACATACCCATTATCAGGAAAACAAACCGGAGATTAACTTGGCAAAATGTCTGCAGACATCAAAAAAAGCAAGCAAGCGGGATGGCAACAGTGGCATGATAACGACTAGGACAGCGCCAGGAGCAGCACCAGGAGATGGACCACCAGATGGCGATGGTGAATAATATATGAGTCTGAGAGTTAGAATAGAGCGACACCGACCTGCAGACACACACACACACGCATTTGGTCTGCGGCCCTGTAAAAGTGACACATGAGCGTAATAACAGCTAAGACCTTCCTAAGCATCCGGCAGTCAACAACCACTTGCTGGATCCGTCCGTGGCATCAGGCTCTGTCCGGAGTACGCAGTATGGAGTACGGAGTCCGTACCACGGGCAACCCCCTTTGGCTGGGACGCCGCTGCACTCAGCATGATTACAAATTATAGCGTCTGAGCAGCCCATGTTCCTGCCTCTAACTCTGTGTCTGTGTGTGTGTGTGTGTGTGTGTGTGCGTGTGCGCTCGAAGGGGCGGACTTTGGTTGCCGCCCATAGGAAATATAATTCCACAACTTGTGCCGACGATGACGATGACGATGACGCCGCCGGGGTCGTCTGGGCTGAAGGCCTGCCAAAGCGGGGAAGGTGGCCAAACGACTAACGAATTTGGTGCTGCACGCATTGCCCTCAGTCCCCGGCCGTCCGCCCTCAGGCCTGTTCTGGTGCTGGATCTCTGGCCTGTGGCTGCTGCCTGGTCCTTGCCTTCTGGTGGTTGGCCAGGACCTGCAGACTGTCAGACCTTGCCGCTGGTTGGTTGACTCTTTGCCTCGGACTGGCTTTGATGGGAGTGTGCAGTCCGTCCGCCCCGGGTTCTCCCACCCCTGCAGCCTTCCGGTGCGTCCATCGTCCATCCCCCAGCCCCCCGTCCCGTCCCGTCCCTCTCTCTCTGTTTAGATAATTCTGTTAGCTTTTAATGTTTTCGTTGTTTCGTTGCTCGTTCTAATAACTTGATTATGCATTTGCCTGTAAATTTGTGGAAATGTCTGCTTTATAAGCTGCATTTAAGATGGCGTCGCCACCGCAGGGGGCTGCTGGGAAGGACACAGGAGACGGGAGACAGGATGCTGATGCGGATGCCGATGCTGATGCAAGCCCCTTGTCTGTCTAGAGGGATTCTTCGGTAAGCCTAAAAGCATGCAATGGATTTCGAGTGAAAGTCAAGGTGAAAAAGTGACGGTAAAAGGCAGCCGCCTCAGGGGGGTAAAAGAGAGCTCCAGGAAGCGAATTAGCCATAAAATACAAACCATTTCCTTCAGAAACAACGACTCCTCCCTGCCTTGGAAATGATGATGGACTTTACCTTAATTCCCCTGGAGTTGTAGATGGCTACCTTTTGCTCCTATTTAAATAATAATAATAACGACATCTATTTTGGTGAGCAATTGTGCATCGTTTCCTCTATCAGAGCATTATGTCCCGGCATATAAAACTTACTTTTACTACTACTCCCATGCTTTATGACCACTTTCGTTCGCTTCATGTGCCTCTGGGCCCTTGGGTTATTCGCTCCATGTGTGGGTGGGCTGGTGGTTAGGCGGTTAGGTGGCACGTGGCAGAGTGCGCGATTTCTCAAGGCGCAAGGTCAAGCCAAAGTAACCCACACAGGAAGACAGAGACACAGATAGATCCTGCGACCGAACACAGACCTAAATCCTTTTTGATTAAATTCAATGGTTTATATCCAATACTCGACCTCTTTCCTTTTTCTGTCTGAACATTTTATATGTCTTTGAAACGCATTATTTTCAGCCGAATCCCCATTTTGTTGTTGGTCCACCCACACACAAAAACACACACTGAGACACAACCAACACACACGCACACAAAGAGACATAAAACAAAATGGAGACTGAAGACAGGAGAAAATAGATTGAAGTGTAATCATGGTTTTGAACTGCTCCTCGGTCATACATTTAATCCGAGCCAACGTAGCAGACACAAAATGGCCAAAAAACGACGACGACCAACGAAATGAGAGAGAAAGTAAGCGTCTAGCTAGGGTCTAGGGTCTAGGGTCTAGGGTCTGCCCAGGCCCCCACCCAACCAATACAGAATATAGAACAAAAGACGTTGTAATTGGAAGAGAGGCTGGGGA